ACTGTTGATTTATCTTTTAGTTAAGCAGCCATTATTCCTAAACAAGCTGCATACTCAAATCACCACACAGAGACTGGAATTTATTTAATTAACCTAGAGCACAATGCTGGGCAATAGTTACTCCATCCTAAACCTCCAAGCCTGCATAGTTTCCTACCATTCAGATTTCACCCATTATGCTTGCTTTTAGTCATATCTTAGGTCCAGTTCATCTCCTCGTGGTTCTAAGACCTCTCCTGCAGATTCTCTGCTCCTCCTCTCTTCCTTGCTTCCTTCTCTGCCCTTCTGACCTGGATGCCCCACTCTATACTCTTCACTGCACGGCATTGGCTGGTTGTTTAATTGACAAGTACAGATAACAAATGGTGGCATGTTTACACAAATGTGAGACAGGTGATGCATTCCACAAGAATATTATACCAACACTATAGGTTGCTTTCCACAAACTGACAGCAAGGCCCCATTGATGAAGCCCAACACCTACACAACTCATTGAACATGGAGAAGTCCAGCTGGTGCCTACAGAGAATTTTCATCCCTACAGGGTAGTGTCTTTTGTACAGGAAGGTACTCTGCATGCTACCAGTGGAGAATCAAACACCAACTCAGCCACAAACCTTTTGATCTACAGTGGTGTCCTGCCTGCAAGATAAGCTAGGGCAATGGCGGCACAAAGCCGTAGAAGAGACTGATCAATATGTGATTTGACTTAAGGCCCACACCACAAGATGGAACCCATACCCAGCACTACTTGGATGGCCAAAAACCAGAGACTAGATAGGGACCTTGGATAAAACCAAACACTACTGTTCTAAAAAAAAAAAAAAGTAACAATAAAATTATCCTTAATGACATCCTGCTATACTCATAGATCAGTGTCTTGCTTAGCCATCTTCTGTCTTCATAAAAGCAGTTGGGAACAAATACAGAGACCACAGCCAGATATAGAGTGAAAGACCTCAGAACTCTCAGTTCTAAACTGGATGTCTCTATCAAATCCCTCCCTTCACAGCTCAGGCAACACTTCAGAAGATGAGGTGGAAACACTGTAAGAGCCAGAGGAGATGGAGGACCAAAAAAAAAAAAACAAAAAACAAAAACAAAAAAAAACAGTGCCCTTTGATTCAATATGGTCCAAGTTTATGTGAACTCACAGAGACTGAGGGCCTGGGCCGATCTGCACCAGGTCTTCTGTGTATGTATTATGGCTTCCAGATAGTGTTTTTATGGGACTACTGAGTGTGTGTGAATGAGCAGATCTCTAACACTTTTTTCCTTCTCTTCATTTGTCTTGTCCAAATTTGACGTGGTAGTTTTTGTTTTGTCTTATTATATTTCATTTTGTTATATTTTATTATTATCACTTAGAAGCCCAATTTATTTTTTCTAATGAGAGTCAGAAAGGGAGTAGATCCAGATGGGAAGGGATGTGGGGAGAAACTGGTAGGAATAAAGGGAGGAAAACCTTTAATCAGAATATATTGTGTAAGGAAAAAAAAATCTTTTTAAGCACTCAGGAGGCAGAGGCAGGCAGATCTCTGCTAGTTCAAGGCCAGCCTGGTCTACAAAGCAAGTCCAGAACAGCCAGGGCTCTGTTATACTGAGAAACCCTGCCTTGAAAAACCAATGATAATTAATAATAATAATAATAATAAAATAAAAGACTTACACATTTAGAATTTAAAAATACTCTTACTAATAGCCCATGGATCAGAGAAGGAACTATGTGGAAATTAGAAAACACTCTAACTGAATAAGAACAATGATAAGCAAGCAGAGCAGGGCTTCATAAAAGCATAAGCACTTACAATAGCAAAAAGGAAACACTTAACAGCCTATATGATGGCACATACTATTCCCAGCGTAGTTCCAAGTCAGGCTGCCCTATATAGCAATATTTTACCTTGGAGGAAGAAAAGGAATGAGTGTTAATGATTGAGGTTTTGACTTAAAAGCTAGAAAAAAAAAAAAAAGGAGCAAAATAAATAGAAGAAAAACAATAATGAAGAGAGTAACTATAGAAAACAAAAGACAGTGACACTTAATATAGATAGTATATTTCCTGAAAAGGGTAAGAAAGGGGCTGGAGAAAAGGCCCAGTGGCTAAGAATACTGGCTGCTCTTTAGGAGGGCCTGAGTTCAATTCCCAGCACACACTACACTTCGCAACCATCTCCAACTCCAGTTCGAGGAGATCTGATGCCCTCTTCTAGCCTCCTCAAGCCCTGCATGCATATGGTATATAGTGGCATCAAAACACTAACCCTGAGTTAAAACTTTTAAAAAGGGCTGAAGAGATAGCTCAGAGGTTTAGAACATTTGCTCTTCTTCCAAAGGTCCTGAGTTCAATTCCCAGCAACCACATGGCGGCTCATAACCATCTATAGTAAGATCTGGTGTACAAGCAGAATGTTGTATAAATAATAAATAAATAAATAAAACTTTTAAAAAATTAAAAAGATAAGAGCCTCGCATGGTGATGCACACCTGTAATCCTGGCACTTGGGGGAGGCAGAGGCAGAGGCAGGGGCTCAGGGGCCAAGGGGCCAAGAGAGAGGCCAAAAGAGGCTGAGAGAGGCCAAGAGAGGAAAAAAAAAAAGTAAGATAATTTCGTAACCCTTAGCAAAGTTCATTAAAAAGAGGGGGAAAAAGTCAGTATTTTAGAAGCTGGCATCACTATTACGACCAATGTTCAAGGGCTTTACAAGCTGCTTTATGTCACGATACTAGAACTCAGCTGAAAGAGACAAATACCTTGAAAATGTTCACATGTAGACAGATACGGGAGCTTGAGATGGCTTAGCAGTTAAGAGCACCTGCTGTTCCTCTAGATAAATCCCAGTTCAATTCCCAGCACCCACAAGGCAGCTTTCAACTGTCTGGAACTCCAGTTCCAGGGGACCCAATACTGTTACACAGATATACATGCAGGCAGATTACCTAATGCACATAAAATAAAGTAAACAAAATCTTTTAAAAAAGTGTTCTTGGGGACTGGAGAGGTGGCTCAGCAGTTAAAAGCATTGGCTGCTCTTGCAGAGGACCCTGGTTCAATTCCCAGCACCCACATGGAAGCTCATAATTGTCTCACCTGTAATTCAAATTCCAGTGGACCCGACTCCCTCATATATATATGTATGCCAAACACCAATGTACATAAAAATAAATAAATTTAAAATAAATAAAGTATTCTTTAGCCGGGCGTGTGACACAAGTCTTTAATCCCAGCTCTCAGGGAGGCAGAGGCAGGCAGATTGTTCTGAGTTTGAGGCTAGCTTGGTGTATAAAACAAGTCCAGGACAGCCAAGGCTACCCAGAGAAACCTTGTCTCAAAAAAAAAAAGTGTTCTTTAATTTTAGAAAATAAACAGATAAGAAATAGAAAATATGGCGGCTGGTCAGTGGCTAAGAGCACCTGCTGCTCTTGAAGAGGACCCAGCTTGATTCCCAGCACCCACAACTGCCTTTCAGTTCTAGGATGTCCTCTTAGGTGTCCAAGCGCACCAGGCACACATGACATTCACTTACATATATGGAGGCATTCACACATATATAGAAAATAGAATAAATCTTATTTTTAAAAGAAAAGAGAAACATGAGTGATGTGATATTTGATATCAAAAGATTTGAATTTATTATCAAAAGCTTCCACACTGGCCCATCCTCAAAACATAAGGAAAATCACCTCTAAATCCACATGATGCTATGCTGAATAGGGCCAATCATTTAAGAAATATTAACCATTCCTATACAATTTCTCCAGAAACATGAGTCTATTTCCTAAAGCCAGGATGATAATGACGTTTAACCTCTACAAAGTCAGTAGAAGAAAAAGGAACTGATGGGTTAATATTCCTTATCAATCCAGAAATAAAAATAGCCTTAAGAAGATATTTCCAGGGGCTGGAGATGTCTCAATGGTTGGGATCACTGGGAGTTTTTCCTGAGAACTCGGGTTCAATTCCCAGAACCCATGTGGCAGCTCACAACTCTCTGTAACTCCACGGGACCCAACACCCTTAAACGGGCATACATGTAGGCAAAACACCGATGCACATAAAAAAAAAATCATTTAGATAAAGAAGAAAATATTGGGCTAGAGAGATGGCTCAGAGGTTAAGAGCACTGGCTGCCCTTCCAAAGGTCCTGAGTTCAAACCCCAGCAAAAACATGATGGCTCACAACCATCTATAATGACATGGTGGCTCACAACCATCTATAATGAAATCTGGTGCCCTCTTCTGGCCTGCAGGCACAACCCTGAATACATAATGAGAAAATCTTAAAAAAAAAAAAAAAATACCAAGTCAAATTCAGCAATATGTTTAGAACAAAACAAAACAAAACAAAACAAGACAATGCCAAGTGTAGCCTGAGAATTCAAGCAAGGGGCTGGAGAGATGGTTCAGCAGTTAAGAGCACTGGCTGCTCTTCCAGGGGTCGTGAGTTCAATTCCCAGCAACCACAGGGTAGCTGCCAACCATCTGTAATGGGATCTGATTCTCTCCTCTGGCGTGCGTGAAAACTCATTTACATATATAAATCTTCAAAAAAAAAAAAAAAAAAGAAAGAAAAAGAAAAAGAATTCAAGCAAGAAGTAACATGTGAATGTCCCAAGATGTAACATGTGAATGTCCCAGGATTATTTAATAGCATGAAACAAAAATTACAAGATCACCTCCACAGACGCAAAGAGAGCACCTGAAAAATTCCAACTGACGTTCCTAAGAATTCTCAGCAAGCTAGGAGTGGGAAGCAGTTTAATCTGAAAGGGAGAAGGAGGGGGAGGGGAGGGGAGGGGGAGAGAGAGGATAAGTAGGAGAGTGGTGGGGGTGGTTGAGTTCCTCTACGCGCCCCCCACTTTTCTACCTCCGAGAGCGGTGGGCGTGGCTGGGTTCCACCGCCCACTTCCCGCGCGTCGGAGTCCGGGCTTGAGTCACACTGCTCCCGCTACCTATAAAAGTTGAGGAAACAGCCCTTCCCTGTCCAGTCTGAGAGCTGCAGCCGCGGGACTTCGGATCGGGAGAACCCTAACTACGACCCAGCGCGCCCACAGCCTCTGCCGCCTGGACGCTGCTCCCCGGCCCAGGTCCCAGGCCACTCCCGGGACGCATTCCTCGAAGTCGGGTGTCCATGATGGACACGTTAAAAGTCGCCCTGCTACTAGTGAGTGTCGCCCGGCGGGAGCGCGCTGGCCGAGGCCGAGCGGGAACCGGGGCGGGGGAGCACGGAGTGCCCTGCAGGGCCCGGACTATGGCGAGCACGTGCCCTAGGGAGGAAAAGGCCGCCGGAGGGGCCGTGGAGCGGGGAGGACGAGACGGTGAAGAGCCGACGGCTCGGTGCCGGGATGGGGGTGCGGTGGGGTGCGGTGGGGGTGGGGAACCCGAAGGTGGGCTGAGGCAGGCTGGGCTGGAGAGGTAGGCGGAAGGCCGGGGAGGATGTGACGGGCCGGGGCTCCGGTGGGAGAAAAGGACCCGACGGTGGGGTGACACGTCCGGAAGGTGGTGTGAAGAAAGTTCTGAGGTTGGATTGGAGCCCGGGCGGGAAGTAGGGGAGGCCGGGGCGGGGGGGGGGGGGGAAAAGGACCAAGGGGGGGGGGGGGGGGGGGGGGGGGGGGGGGCCCGCCGGCCCGGGGGCACCGCCCCCCCCCGGGGGGGGGGGGGGGGGGGAGCGGCAGGTACCCAGCAGCTAAGCCAACCTCCCCGACCACGGGGGTCCTGCAGGGCTACCGGGTCTTTCCCCCACGCACCATCCCCTCTTCCCCCGCCCCATCTCGCCCCAGGTATGGTGGTTTTTACTGGACCGGCTGGACCCTTCCTCCCCGTCCCTCCGCGCCCC